TATGTAAGGAAAAAATTCAGAAGTCTAATGGGAGACCTTCAACTCCAAAGATGAGGTCTTAGCTCAGCATCAAAAACTTGAGGCATGTTTTAGGTTAAAATAAAAGCTTAAGGTATGATTCCATCATTTTGTATGATTCCTGCCTTAACTAACTTGTTCAACTAAATCGCGAATTATTAATTGAATTGGGTACAAGGGTTTCTGCTGTCGTTAACCAAATAATACATTAAAAGCTACAATACGGGGTGTGAAGGCAAACGAGATGATCTCTCACAGGGGGAGAGAGGGCTTGGGACAACCTCCATGGGGGCAGGTGAGTCCTGAGTTGGTGCCAAAGTATAGAGTAGGAGTTCCTTGGGAAATAAGGAAAGCCGGTCACTTCCCAGAGGAGAAATCAGTACAGTCACGTAACTCAGTTTTCTAGACTTTGCAAACCAACTCAGAGGCATGGTAGCATAAATTTGACTCTTTTGTCGGCCATTCCTGTGTGTTCTTAAACAAGCCCTCTATGCCTCGGGGTCTGCATCTGAAAGATGAGGATAATAGCAGTACCCACCTCCAGGGGCTGCTGTGAAGATTACACTCGATGACCTCTAATTAATCGTGCATTAATAAAAATACGTGCAAAATTATTTTCAGGCTTTCTGGGAGCAAGGGAGTAGAAACGGTGGTTCTGGAGACAAAGAAAATGTTTTATGCTTCTTCTGAAATCTCTTGCCAAAACAGAAGAAGTAGGATGTTGAAGAGAAAGAAAGGTGGGGTGTAAGCACCAGAGACCGGGAGCTGTGTCAGCTCCTGAGGCTGCATGTGGAATCACTCTCAACAACCAGTACTCAGCATCGTCCAGCACAGTCCAGCCATCACTTCCCGCTAGCTCACTCAGTTCTCCCAACAATCCCGTACCGTAAGTATTTCCATGAGCTCCATTTTACAGATGTGGAAACTGGTCTCACAGAAATTAAACACTTCATTCAAGGTTGTGCAGACAGTAAATAGGAAGCAAGGACTAGAACCCAGATCACCTGTTTCCAAATTCTGTGGACTTCCCGATGGCCCAGGCTGCTGTTCTCATGAGCTGTTCGCTTCACAAACCCCGAGCTGTCGTGTCTTGTATTCCATTTGTTCATTTGTTAAAACTACTGGTAGGATAGCTGCAACTAACAGCTGAAATGAGGATTGGAGATTATCAGGGATTCCAATTATCCTGCCTATCTCTGACCTCCATTACCAAGGATAAACACAAGCCAGCTCTAGCAATTTTCCGAAATTTTCATTAATTTTAAATAAAATTATACAATGTCATTTTTCCCTTTACCCAAATTAAAATGTCCTTGTCTTTTCACTTTCTCATTACAGGCAAATCCCTGTATGTCTCTCAGACTGTCTGTTGTTTTTCTCTGGGTCCTTTGTATTTCTGCTTTGTTTTCTTTGAAATGAAAGAACCCAATGCTGAATTCCGATTTTAAGGTGAAGTCATAACATCAATGTATATCATTAAAATGTTTTATTGTAATTACAGAAATAGTCAATGCCAAATTATGCACACTATATTATTTTCTGCATTATTCTTTATCCCATTCTCAAAGTTAATACAGCCTATTATATCTCATTCATTCTTCCGACTGCTGCTGCACAGTGAGCAGATGTCTCCATTGAGCAACCCACAATGAATCCGAGATCTTTTTCCCGAGCACTTACAAGTAGAGTAATTCAGAGCCCATCAGTGAGTATGAGCTGTTTCCATTGTTCCTTCCAGTGCACATTAGCTTGCACTTGTCTACATAAAATTTCAAAAAGTCGTAGATGTTGAAGATGGAAAAGACCAGTTAGTTTATGAAGCCTGCTAACTCTACCACCAAAAGCAAGCAAAGGAAGTAACCCTATCAGTTCATACTATTTTATTGATGCTTATTAATAATAATTACAATTACTGTTTATAGGACATGGTGTCTTTCAACCCAAAATCAGTTACGATGCTTTTATTTATTTATTTATTTTTTCAAGACGGAGTTTCACTCCTGTTGCCCAGGCTGGAGTACAATGGCACGATCTTGGCTCGCAACCTCCACCTCCTGAGTTCAGGGGATTCTCCTGCCTCAGCCTCCCCAGTAGCTGGGATTACCGGTGTGTGCCACCATGCCCGGCTAATTTTTGCATTTTTAGTAGAGACGGGGTTTCACCATGTTGGTCAGGCTGGTCTCAAACCCCTGACCTCAGGTGATCCACCCACCTGGGCCTCCCAAAGTGCTAGGATTACAGGTGTGAGCCACCACGCCTGGCTGATGCTTTTGATTTTTAAGGCAGCATTTCTTCTCCAAAAGGGAACTGGGGCACAGTAATTATTGTTACCATACTTGAAGCAAATCCGGTGAAGCCAAGAATTCAGTTCAGTTGAGTTCAGTAAACGTCACTGAGCACAACCACTTGTAAGGAGAGGGACTCGGCTGGTGCTCTAGGGGAAGCAGAGTGAATAGGACCTAAATCCCTACCCTCGGGTTTATTGTCTATTAAGGGATTTGAGGTAGTGAACAGGTACAGCTAATGATCGTTCTAAGCAAAGTAGAAGATAACATGGACACAAGACTCCTAGCCCTAGGAGTTGAGGAAGACTGTGAAGAAACTGACATTTGAGCGACCTCGAAAGAAGGATGAGTCCTCTGGTTGTCCATTTGCAGAGTGTGGGAAGACACTTTTGCTGAGCAAAGAACCAGACCAAAACAGAACCAGAGATCTTAGCTGGGGTTTTACCTTACAGTGGAAAGACGAGTATGCACTTTGTCACAGCAAGGGAATAAAGTCCATAATTCAGAAGATGTCTATTAGGCCCTCTTTAAACAGGATTAGGATGTGGAAACTCAATACAATGAACAACCTGAAACAACCACTCAAATACCTTGACTACCAGTCATGGATGTACTTACGGAGACGAGGCAGACTTTTAAATTATGACTGTTTCCAAAAAACCCACCAAATCCAGAAAGCCTGGAATTGTACGTAAAAAAAAGGAAATTCCCAACCACAGACGAGAATCTCGAATCAAAGATTCGAGAATGAATAAATGACCCATCTGTCAGCACCTTAGAACTCCGTGGTACTACACAAGAGCTCACAGTAGTGTCCCATATGGTCACACCAGGGATTCGCAGGCCCTTGTTAGATTTCAGTACAACCCTAGAACCCAAACCTAGAAAGCACAGGAAAGGGTACTCCATTTCATGATTCCTTCAACAGAACTCTGTGTAAGTACAGACTAGGAAAATGCCAACATATTCTTAGAGTTAGTAAGAGTAGATATTTCTTCACTTTCACTCAAAGAAAGTAATCTTTGAAAGCATTGTTATCTGTCAATCTATTTTTTTGTTTTTTTTTTTTTCTTTTTTCAATATTTTGAGACAGTTTCACTCTTTTTGTTTGGGCTGGCGTGCAATGGCATGATCTCTGCTCACTACAATCTCTGCCTCCCGGGTTCAAGTGATCCTCCTGCCTCAGTCTCCTGAGTATATAGGATTACAAGTGTGTGCCACCATGCCCAGGTAATTTTGTATTTTTTTAGTAGAGACAGGGTTTCACCATGTTGGTCAGGCTGGTCTTGAACTCCTAACCTCAGTTGATCCGCCCACCTCAGCCTCCCAAAGTGCTGGGATTACAGGCGTGAGCCACTGTGCCTCACCTCAATCTATTATTTAGTCATTATAATGCTGCTTTATAGCACCCTTTACAAAACCATGGCGTGAAGAAAAAGCAAACTCTAGAAGACTTCCAGTACTTCCACATTCATCCCTCAAGGACCATTGAAAATGTCATCTCCTTTGTGACGCCTTTCCCAATTCCTTCCGCCATTATTCCCTTCACCACCAAATTAATTGTTCTCTCCCGTGACGCACCGTTCTTTTGATCCATTGCTATATGCTTTATAATTAGTTCTGTGAATATCTGTCTCTTTCCACCAGGATGAAAGCACATTAAAGGTAGGGATTCAAGCCTCCATCATCTTGCACCCCACAATGCCAAGCTCACTTTCATTGCCTAACATGCAACAGATATTTATCATGTTTGTTAAATCACTTCCTCAGGTCTCAGAGACCTTCTTTTGACATATTTAAATTATTAAAACTTTTTAAAAAGTCTACACCTTAGTCCGTTTTCTGCTGCTATAATAGGATACCACAGACTGGGTCATTTATAAAGAAAAGAAATGGCGGGGTGCGGTGGCTCACACCTGTAATCCCAGCACTTTGGGAGGCCAAGGCGGGTGGATCACGAGGTCAAGAGATCGAGACCATCCCGGTCAACATGGTGAAACCCCGTCTCTACTAAAGATACAAAAAATTAGCTGGGTATGGTGGCGCGTGCCTGTAATCCCAGTTTCTCAGGAGGCTGAGTCAGGAGAATTGCCTGAACCCAGGAGGCGGAGGTTGCGGTGAGCCGAGATCGCGCCATTGCACTCCAGCCTGGGTAACAAGAGCGAAACTCCATCTCAAAAAAAAAAAAGATCAAGGGACCGCATCTGGTGAGGGTCACTCCATAGCAGAAGGCATCACATGGTGAGCGAACACATGGCAGAGGGAAAATGGGGGCCAAAGTTATCCTTTTATTGGAAGCCCACTCCCAAGATAACAGCAGTTATCCATCCATGTGGGTGAAGCCTCGTGACCTCACCACCTCTTAAAGGTCTCATCTCTTAATACTGTCAAATGGCAATTAAATTTGAACATAAGTTTTGGAGGGGACAGCCAAACCATGACAGTACCCTATCCAAAACTCCTTACCCTTGTCTCACCATGGCACTCAGATTCCGACGCGAGACCCTTATAGGGGTACGCCTGCCACTACCCTTCATTCACTCAGCATGTGCCTCTGGCTGTGAATTGAAGAAATAACTGCCCTTAACAAGACCTGAATCTTGACTGTGCAATTACGTGACTCTGGAAATCCTTTGCAGTCAGACCGACCTGACTTTAGACAGACTTACACTCTAATTGTCAGTTACTAATTGTACGATGTTGGGCAAGTCACACTCTCTAGACCGCAGTGTCCTCAACTATGAGATGAAGGTATTACTAGCACCTGTCCGTTTGAATGAGACAACGCCTGAAAGAGTTTAGCTTAATGTGTGGCACATAGGAAATAATTATGATTATCGTCTCCTCATTTATAAGGTAGAAATAATAATACAAGTCCCTCAGCATTGTTATAAGGAATAAATGCTATAAAAAGTGGAACTTTACCCAGCACATTGTTCTATCCACATTTCCTTCCTCCGTAAGTTCTAGAATAATTGCTACAACTGATTGAGTGCCTTTTACATATCAGGTAATGTGTATCAGTCGCTTTAAATATATGATCCCATCTAACTTAATTCTTAAGACAAGCTATTTAAATAACAATTATTATCCCTAGTTTACAGATGGTGAACTGAGTTTCAGAGAGAACAAACAACCAGCCCAAGGTCACATAACTAGTTCAGGACAGACTGTTCCAGCAGCTACAGATAAGTTGGGTCAAGTACGGAACAGGGAAGCATAGGAAGAAAACACAGGAAGAAAGCAGGCTTTGACCTCCCCTGTGGAATTCAGTGCCTCTGTGTATCCTCATGCAGTCCCCAGTTCCAGTACTAAGCTTGCTTTTTAAACTAGCCTCTGAGATCCATGTCAATGTGTTCTCACTCTCACCACTCACCTACTCTTGCTTTTTGATAAATACATGAAATGACATCCGTCACCTAAGAACTAACCCTGATACACTTCCCTCTCCCAGTTTTTAATTTTTTTGTTACATATTTGCTACTGTTCCCATGGTCTTTTTATCTCCGTTATACTAATTGTCACCCATGAAAATTTTAATTTTTCATAATCTAGTTAGCCTTAATTTCCTAGACTTCCATAATGGGCTTATATCAGCTATGGCAAATATAGCCCTTCCATGGTTCCTACTAAAAGACAATCCGGTTTTATATGAAGGGACAGTCCCTCTACCCCTACCCCTCTCCCTTTACCACAGCATCCTAGACTAGAGGTGAGCTTCTGACTCGAAGGCAGCTCCAGCCTTAAGCTGGCTAAAAACCTATAAAGCATGGCAAGGAAAAGATGAGTTGGGTTCACTGGATCCTTTCTTGGGAATCTAAATTAGGGAATTCTGAGAGACGGAAGCAGTTATTGGGGAAAATTAGGAAAACTACAGCTGAAAGAATGTAAGGAAAGAAAGAAGCCACGAAGCGGGGAGAGTAGAGAGTAGATTCTGGACACGGGGGTCTTGACAAGTCAAAGAAGCAACAATGAGGGGTTGAGACTTTTTTATTTATTTATTTTTTATTATATAGACTTTTTTTAAAAAATAGAGATGGGGTTTCACCATGTTGGCCAGGCTGGTCTCGAACTCCTGACCTCAGGTGATCCACCCGCCTCAGCCTCCCAAAGTGCTGGGATTACAGGTGTGAGCTACCGCACCCCACCAAGACTTTTTTTTTTTAATTGTTGTCATATTATTGTTATGACATTAAGCAAGATATTATTGTTTGAAAAAGCTCCGAGATTGAGAGACGTTACTCAGAAAAAAGCTAGAAGACGAAACCAGTGAGTATCAAAAGGAGCCTGAGTAAGGGAAACACAGAGGGAGAGAATTAGACTGATATGAAAGAGAAGGTTGAGCCTAGAGCTGCCTGAGCACCTAAAAGGTTTCCAAGTCTGATTGCAGGCTCTCACTGTGAGCATCTTCACAATGAATGTCACTTTTCCAGAGGAAACCTCAGTGAGTCAGTTCTTTGCAACCAAAAGGCCTTTTCTAGATGGTTTAGCACTTAAAGCCTTTTTTAGAAAATGAAAGTTAAATTACAGTGACTCCTTTGTTTCAGATGGTCACGACTACAGATCCCTGGAAGTCGGCATTCACCTTACTATCCTCTGATTGTCCAGACTTCCTCAAAGATCTCTTGATTTTTCCTGTTTCTGAGCTAGAAGAAAATCCTCTTTAGCTACTACCTAATTATCAACAAATAGACGGTAAAATAGGCAAACTTAACGAACTCATTTATCATCTGTGATTCTTTGATGTAAAAAATAAACTCTTAGGAAATCACAAGGTCCACGAATGGGAAACATGAAAAACAATAGGTTTAGGGGAAAAAAACCTGGGCATAAGGAAGGAGAAGAGGCTGGGTTGGTGGCTCACGCCTGTAATCCCAGCACTTTGAGAGGCTGAGGTCCGGAGTTTGAGACCAGCCTGGCAAACGTGGCAAAACCCTGTCTCTACTAAATATACAAAAATTATCTGAGCCTCATAACGCGTACCTGTAATCCCAGCTACTCAGAAGGCTGAGGCAGGAGAATCGCTTGGACCCAGGAGACAGATGTTGCAGTGAGCCAAGATCTCATCACTGTACTCCAGCCTGGGCAACAGAGCAAGACTCTGTCTCAAAAAAAAGAAAGAAAGAAAAGGAGAGGATTTGGGAGTATACAAAATGCTTTATTATGATTATGTATTTTATTCTTTGCAACAGGAGAGAAGAAAAATATCTTATAAGAAATTTGCTTTTTTTTAATGCAACATAAAGTTGCAATTTAAGATTCTTCTTGTCAATTCATATTGTATTTATACTTTTTTTTTTTTTTGAGACAGGGTTTTAGTATCTTGCCTAGGCTGGTTTCAAGCAATTCTCCCACCTCAGCCTCTGGACGTATATTTAGTTGAATTTATTAATAAGCTCTATCTCAGTGTGAACTGTTTATTCATTCACTAACATTTATTGATTGCCGGTTCTGTTTCACCCTACGCTAGGGATTAGGAGTACAAAAACCACAGATAATCCCAACCTGGCCCAGTGCAGTGGCTCACGCCTGTAATCCCAGCACTTTGGGAGGCCGAGGCGGGTGGATCACGAGGTCAAGAGATCGAGACCATCCTGGTCAACATGATGAAACCCCGTCTCTACTAAAAGTACAAAAATTAGCTGGGCGTGGTGGCGCGAGTCTGTAGTCCCAGCTACTCGGGAGGCTGAGGCAGGAGAATTGCTTGAACCTGGGAGGCAGAGGTTGCGGTGAGCTGAGATCATGCCATTGCGCTCCAGCCTGAGTAATAAGAGCGAAACTCCGTCTCAAAAAAACAAAAACAAAAACAAAACAAAACAAAAAAACAATCCCAACCTTTGAGGGGCCACAGCCCAGAGCAGGAGGCAGACGATTCTAGTGCAGTATGATAAGAGCCACATAAGTGCACACCCAGTATAGGAGGTGGTGGAGCAGGAACGACATGATCGGGGTCCAGGAACCTTCCCAGAAGAAATGCCCAGGTTAATTCTTGAAAGGAAGAGCTGGAGCTGGCTTGGAAAAAATAAGGCAAATAAACATTCCAGGCAGAGACAGCAGCCTGGGCACTGGCACAGGAGTTAAAGTCCTGAATTCTTTTCTTTTTTATACGATGTTTTGCTCTTGTTACTCAGGCTGGAGTGCAATGGCGCGATCTCGGCTCACCGCAACCTCCGCCTCCTGGGTTCAGGCAATTCTCCTGCCTCAGCCTCCTGAGTAGCTGGGATTACAGGCACGTGCCATCATGCCCAGCTAGTATTTTGTATTTTTAGTAGAGACGGGGTTTCACCATGTTGACCAGGATGGTCTCGATCTCTTGACCTCGTGATCCACCCGCCTCAGCCTCCCAAAGTGCTGGGATTACAGGCGTGAGCCACCGCGCCCGGCCAAGTCCTGAATTCTTTAGACTGTGGTTGCCTTAAGCATTCCAGTGTGTCACAAGGTAAACCACCAATCCGGGGATCCTCAGAGCAAGTATGACCTTAACCTTAACTCAAAATGTCCCTTGTCCACAGACTCTCAGCAAAATTTCTCTCCTCAAACATATATTTACTACACAAGCCCTAAGGATAACAGAAAGTCCTGTATACCTAGTATTATGCAAGATAAAAGGCTACCTCAAGGTTTGTAAGTTTCTCTTCTGAGCAAATGACAGCTTGGCTTCCTTCAAATGCCGTTAATGGTAGTTTTGAGTTTGTGCATTTTTCAGGAAAAAGTGATTGTGATTTTCATGCAATTACTAACGCTCTCCAAAGTTTGAAACTAAAGGCATTTTGAAACTTTAAAATACTTTGGATAACTGCTTAATTAAAAATTAGATTGGCAACAATAATACCTAGAATATGCTTTTCTTTTCCTTTATGATGTTTAGAATTTATCAGTAAGCAAACACTTCACAAATTTCTACAGGGTACATTCTTATGTTCTAAAAGTCTTACTGGCAAGTCCACTTCACTAAACTATTTCTGTTTTCCTGTCTTTAAAGTTAATAATACATTTCTCTATGTGTCTACTTATTATTACTGCTGTGACATTAGCAAGAGATTCAATGTCAGGAATTTTAAGCAACCCCGAATCAAGGAACGATGTAAGTGAAAAAATTATTACATCCAGCGTGCAAAACCCCTTTTCCCAGCTAGAAAGTAATTATATCTTACATACTATTTTTTTCCAGATGAAAAAACTTAAAACTAATTAAAACAGAGTCAATGGCTTACTAACCATCAAAGCAACTTGAACCGTTTTCCCTGCTCCAAGCAAGATGATATTCCTAAAACACGGCAGGAAGATTTGCTCTGGGGTTCTAAAAATTGCATTAAGAGCCATTGTGTAAAATTTTTAAATTACGTCTTTTCAAAGGTTTAACCAATTTCAAATGAATAGTGCTTGGAATTACTCATAGAGATGACATGATTAATGAAAACATCATTCATTCTGTACCCTCTCTGTCTCACCCTCAATCACATTTCAGAAGCAGCGTATTACTCATATCTTAAAGGCATATATAATCTATATGTACACACGTTTTATACACATACACATACATATGTAACATATCAGCAAGTCTTCAATAATCTCTTTCAGGAGTTGCATGTCATAAAGATTGTCAAGAGTCCTATCAATCCAAAAGCGTAGTGTTCAACACATGTATCATCAGCACTACAATGGCTTAAACTGTTTCTTTGCATCCTCAAAACGACATATGAGCACAACACAAAAAACCAAACACAATTTTAATGAAAAAGCCTGTGAGA